ACTGCTATTAGAGTGTTTAGTGGGGACTTGACATAACTGTGGAATCAGATCATCTTTATTAAGTGATTTTTGAAAAAGCAGGGTTTGGGGATTTTCCACATACAAGAGCCTACACTGTAAAGACACACGGATTGAGAATTAAAAGTATAAGGGAAATAGTGCAAGGAGAAGAGTCGGGCAAGACTCTGTAAGAACTTAGAGGGCACATTAAAGACATTTGGTTCTTTAAGAATAATAAGTCATTTGAGGTTTCTTGGATTGTGTGCAGTTTTAGCAAGGGGAAAGGATGGAAGGAAAGTACAGTGTCTTATGATTAAATTTGCATTTCTGCAAAGAACACAATGGCTACAGTATAAAGAATGAATTAACAGAAATTTAGAAAGAGCAGTTAGGTTATTGCAGTAGTCCACTAGGTCATAGTGCCGCTATGACAAAATACCTTAGACTAGATAATTTTTAAATGATAGAAATGTGTTTCTCACCATTCTGAAGGCTATGAATTCCAAGATTAAGACACTGCCAGGTTTAGTGTTTAGGGAGGCACAATTTCCTTTTTCAAGATGGCTTCTATGAGAGGAGCACTGTGTTCTCATTTGGCAGAGGTGACAAAGGTTCAAAAATGTTAGATTCTGTGCAAAACCTCTTTTATAAAGGCCGTAATGCCATTCACAAGGGAGGAACCTTCATGACCTAATCTTACCTAAAAGGCCCCTCCTTATAATACCACTACAGTAGGAATTAAGTCAACATGAATTTTGGAAGCAACGCATTCAAGCCGTACCATTCTCACAAAATATTTCAGATTATGTGTCATATTTTCATTCCATCCCAAAAGTCTTAACTCATGCCAACATCAGCTTTAAAATCTAAATTCAGAGTCTCATCTAAATATCATATAAATCAGACAGGGATAAGACTCCTGCAGCAAGTTCCTCTCCATCGGAGAGCCTATGAAACTGAATAAGTTGTGTGCTTCCAAAATACAGTGATGTTGCGTTATCCATAGGGCCTAGTGGCTCTGCCAGTGTGTGGTGTCAGTGGTAGTCCCGTCCCCTTAGTCCTGCTAGACAATGCCCTTGAGGGCTGGGGATTTAGCTCAGCGGCAAAGCGCCTGCCTGGCAAGCACAAGGTCGTGAGTTCGGTTCCCGGTACCAGAGAAAAACCAAAAAAAAAAAAGACACTGCCCTTGCAGCAGCTATCTGCAGTGGTCTAACCCCAAGACTGCTGAGTGTTGCCCTAGCGAGAACTCTATAGAGTGGTCCACGCTGTAGATAGTCTGTAGATTCTTTGGTTATTATTAAAGGAAAGGAACTAACATTTGCTAAGAACTTAATGTGTAACAACATATTTTATATATGCCAACTCTTTTAGTCCTTCAGGTAAATACTATTTTCATTTTAAAGAGAAAAAGCTAATGGCTCTGAGAGGCAAATAAATTAATTAGGATGAAAACAGAAAGGTAAAATAAAAGTAGTTTGTCATAACTTTCCACTTGGCATGCTTAGAAATTGGTGGCATTACTGTCACTGAGTAGTAGATAATCAAGTTGATAACCTGTTACCATCAAGTTGCAGATTGGCTAGATAAATCTTGGTGTCTGGAAGTGTGTGGAGGGGGTGTGAGGCTTATAACTTAGTAGAAGAAAGAGCTGTGTAAGCCAGGATATATGAATTCATACTTTAAAAAAAAATCTTGAGCTTGCTTAGCATAGCAAAGTTTCAAAATGGACTTTAATTAGATTGTCTCTAAATTAATTACTTACTATCTAGAATGCTATGTATTGGGATAATTAATATTTATTACTTCATGAACTGTGGCGCTCCCTATTGAGAGTATTTGTAGCCAGGCAATTCTTTCAATAAAGCTTTCATTTATTAATCTTGGAGCACTTTGAAAGGTTTCTTGATTGAGACTATTTTTAATCCATTCAACATTTATTAGATTTTTTTAGAAAAATCATTGGAGGAAAGCTATGGTATTGAGATTGGTTCTTGAGGATAGGAAAAGTCATGTTTGACTTATTTGGAGTGTTACAGGTGACTTAAGAACACTTGTTTTTTTCCCCTATGTTGGAAATACACACCTTGAAAAATAGGAAAAATGAGAATGTTGAATGTCAGCAGAAATATGAAAACAATTCAATTTATATAATTCAATATTAATACTTATAGGGCTGGGGATTTAGCTCAGCGGCACAATGCCTGCCTGGCAAGCGCAAGGTCATGAGTTTGATTCCTGGTACTGGAAAAAAAACAAAAAACAAACAAAACAAAACAAAATAAAACAAAATACTTAGAACTGGGAAATCCCAAACAATTGTGTGTCGAAAATTACAGGAAACATGGTGCCTTGGTTTTGAAGAAGAAGGATTGAAATTTGCCTTGGTAAAGTGACAGTTCTTAAGATAAACTTTTAATTTTATTTATGATACTCTAGAGCATGTATGGAAAATCATTTTTAATAAATTGGAGATGTTTTTCATTTGATCACCATTGTTTTAAATTTTGCTTTTGAACCCTAAGTAGGAATATAAAGTACCTGTGAAACAAGTACCTAAGTACCTGTTTACCTCTTTAACACTGGTAGGCCACTTGTTTTGCTAGTCTTTGGAATTGGAATGTCAAGTACACAGAAGCCAGAGTCATCTTGGCCAGATGGTGTTTGATACAGATGGATGGTTAGTTGTCATGCAGATCTCCTAGTTGGTAACTTGTTGCTGCCATCTGACTCAAAGAATCATTCACACACACTGGCTGTCAAAAGCATCTTCTCTTCTGTCTGTTTTAGCTGTCATGTCTGTGCTCTGTACAGAAGTGTTGACAAGACATTGCTGTTGTACATTTTCAATGTGGTTGTTAGTGATTTTTCTGTTTTGTGGGGTCTTTGATAGTACTGTACTTGCTTTGTAATTGTATTGTTTTTTTTTAAACTACTATGACCAAGCAACAATTATCTGACATTTTAAAGGATTTTTTTTGATCATATGTTTATTTCAATTTGTTTAGTGAACAAAACCATCTCCAAAAACATTGTTTCACTTAATTTCTAAGCATCACAAGTAAACTAAATTGTTCTGGTTATTTTCCAATTTGATATAATGCCTTCTTTTGGACTTTTATAGCCCAGGATCAAAATATTTATACATTTTTCTGAACATGTTTTCTTTCTTCTCAGATTACTACCTTTTTCTCTAATGGTATAACCCATCCCCCCCAAAAATCCCTTCAAACTTTGTATATCTTTTACATCCATTTTTTGCAACTCAATGTCTCTAACTACTGACTTTCTGTTTTTCTTGTTTTCCTTATAGAAATAAAAGCAAAGCCATTTCTCCCTTTCTTCTTCATTTCACTTGTGAAAGAATATCTTTTTCTCTGATGTATCATTAACAGTTTAATTAATTTATTCAACTAATTTCTGATCATCTTAATATATGCCAGGTACTCTATAATACTTTGGCATTATCAGGAAAACATAGCCTCTTCTGGGAAGTTTAAGTCTAGAGAGAAATCAGACATATAGACAGACTACAATGCTCTAACTATAATACTCTAACTGGTGTAAGTACAGTATATGAAAAATTATAGTAGGAAAATATGGACTATTGCTATTCTCTTTCCCTACTGTACTTTCAGAGTATCAATTTTTTTTTAATTATTACAGACTTTAAGCTATATAATGTTGTCAGGTGGTTTTAAAAATAGATCAAGACCTCAGCTTGAAATAGCCTTATCTGTTAATTCTCCCAGCTGTTAAATACATATTCAGCATTGCTCATTCATTGTGATATGTTATATGCAGATTTGGTCATGTCTGTTTTTAAGCCAAGGACCGGAAGGTAAAAATTAATGGGCAGAAGCTTTCTAAGTTAATTCCGTAAAAAGGTGTATGGTCGTTTAATTTTGTTGTTAATGTGGAAAAAACTCATAGTAGATGAAGAATGATAATGCATAACTTAGACATTTATTCTGGGCTTATCTCTCACCTGGTAAGTTTTTTATGCTGGCTACTTAATCTCTAGACAGTGGATTATATATGCCTACCAAAACATAGGTAAAATTGGTAATTGATTGATGTTTATGAAGAACTTTGAGTTCTTTGGAGAATGTTCTAAATGCATAGCAGTAGTAAGATTGCAACAAGTTTACTGATTGTTTAACTCTTGTGGTTCTGTGTAGCCCAGGTAATTTTAAAGTATTAAGAATTTGCTGTAGATGTTTGGATCCTTCTTTCAGTTAACTTAGCCACTCTTTATAGCAGCTCAGATGTGAACTGACGTAACACTGAGATGTCAGGTCCTAGGAAGGGTGGTCTTAGAGTAGACTTGAGCATCCAGGGATCAGTTCTGAGACTCATAGTCATTGAATATGTGGTCCAGAGAGACACAGGATTCAGTCCTCTGTTCATAATAATAAAATTTACTTGGATTATTTATTTCCTATATTTTTTATTTCAGTAAGCATGTATTTGATATGCTTGGCAGTGTCTTATGGGGACTGTCAAGATGTGCAGGACTCCCCTCAGACAGCATACACAGGAAACACACGGTGGTTTTTTTTTTTTTAATCAGTTCTGTCAGTTATTCATTTTTGAAGTATCTTAATTATAAAAGTTCACCTTTTATGTGGGTAACTGTGGCTTATTTGAATGACATGAATTTTTAGTTTTTTAAGTTAGGGTGTATTTTTAAAGAATTTTAATATAACATCTGTCTTGTTTCATGCTTTTTTTAAGACTTTGAAAGACTGGGTTATAATGTCAAACTCTTCTTAACTGAAATTTTTTAAGATTTTTTTTAATCTTTCAGTACTTTAAGTGTTTTAAATCACAGATGTTTGTAACAACTACAAATCCATATCTGGAGCCAGTTTGTACATAATAAATAAATTTTCCAATATCTAGAAAATGACAGAATGGGCAGCTCTATCCATTTCTTAATGGACAGTAAGTGTGTGTTTATCTCTGTCAGTAAATATCGGGCTAACTGGATTTCATGTCAGCAGACTGAGAACTATGAGCAGAGAATACGTGAGCAACAGGAACAGCTGTCTCTTCAACAAACTATTATTGACAAGCTAAAATCACAGTTACTTCTTGTGAATTCCAGTCGAGGTATGTTCATGATTTTTTTTATTTATTTCTTGAACCTCTTAGAGAAAAGAAAGGTGGAAATTGAGATTACTACTTTATTTTTTCACTGTTTCTCAATAGTTCAGATATAATAAGTTGTAGTACAACTATACATTATGCTCCTTTAAATGAACACTTGCAGGATATGCAAAAATGGACTCTCAGGCATACTGTATGACAGAACTCTAGGTTGATAAAACTTCCTTAAAGGCACGTTGCCTATGTCTATACTTTTTAAATCAAAATTGAAGTCCTAAGACTAGAGCGTAAGAATATTTGTCCAGCCAGGCGTGGTGGCACACGCCTATAATCCCAGCACTTGGGAGGGTGAAGCAGGAGGATCATTGCAAGTTCGAGACCAGCCTGTGCTACAAAGTGAGCTCAAGGCCAGCCTGAACTGCATAGCGAGACCCTGTCTCAAAAAGACAAAAAAAAAAGAATATTTGTCCAGGTACCCAAAGGTACATATGCAGGATATGCATCACAGTATGATTTCTAATAATGGAAAATTAAAAGAAATGTGTGATTTTCCTACATGTGGGAAGGTTTCTGGAGGGCGGTGCATCCAGCAAGGCTGTGAAAGTGCCCTTTCCCATGTACCTTACCCTGTGCATTTCTCTCTTTGTAATGTCCCTTACAGTAAATCAGTGAACAATGAAAAAAAAGGAAGAAATGTCCAACAGTTTAGTTACAGTGAATCATATGAACAACTACCTAGCCAAGAAAAGTGATAATAGATGTTAACTTACCAACAAAAATATGTTTGCTATATATAGCAAAGTAAATGAAGAATATAAAAATAAATGTTATTTATGTAGAAAAATTATTTTTGGTTCAATTTATATGTATAGGAAAAGAAAAACTGTGATAGAATATAAACCAAAATATTAAAAATTATGAGTAGCTTTTATTTTTTATTCTTCATGTCATGTGTACATATTCTAATCTTCCTGCAATAAGCATGGAATAGTTATGTGAATAATTATCTCAAAGAATAAATACTAGAAAATCTGACTTGTATAAAAGTTTATTGTTGGTAAAAGTAAAGTACAAATAACCTATTTCTCATTCTGAATTCTATCTATTTTTACAACTGACCTTGTAGAATATGGGGTTTTGTGTATTTCATAGAAAGAAAATAATATAAATGGACCATTTTTCAAGTTAGCTAGTATCTCAATATTTTTAAATCCATAGCATAAAATATGTTCTTTTAAAATAGTACTCTTTGGTTTTTATTATTTTTTCAGGTGGTAGCAAAAATAAGATTTTTCTAATATCCAAGAGGTTTTTGTCTTATAGATAGCAGTTACGGCTGTGTTCCTCAGCTTGACGATGGTGAAACCAGGGAAAATAATCTGACTCTTGACCAGCCACATGAATCAGGACTACCAAAAGAAAGGCAATCAAAGGTAGACTGCACTGTCATGTTTATTCCCCCAAAGGAAATAAGAAATGAAAAATTAAGTTTCCCAGGCTTCCTGAACTATTTAGTCAGCACACCCTCACAATTTTGGCAGACAGAGGATGGGTAGAAACTAGACAAGATTCTTTACAATCCTAATGTTGATTCTACGAAAAAGAGCACATAAATGTTGGTACACAATACATCTTTCCTACTTTATTTTCCTGATGTGTTAGCACCACTGGAATTCTAAAACTAACAAGTTCTGCATTTGCAAATATACAACATACAGGTTCCTAAACAGAACTATTTTCAAGGGGAAAAGGGGCTTAGGTTTCATATTTCTATTGTTCTTTTTTTTTCCTATATCACAAGCACTTAACAAAGAAGTAAAAGTCAAAAGAAATAAAAATTTAAAGTAGATAGGAAGGCACAAATGATCTTAGAGAACAACTGTTTTTATCTTTAATTTCCTATGTTTAATTAAAAAGAAATTCCACCCAGCTGGACGTAGTGGCGCATGCCTGTAATCCTAGCACTGGGAGGCTGAGGCAGAAGGATTGCTTCAAGTTCAAGGCCAGCCTGAACTACATAGTAAGTCCAGGTCAGCCTGAACTACATAGAAAGACCCTGTCTCAAAAAAAAAGGAAGGAAAAGAAATTCATTCCACCTAACTAACTAAGGGGAAGTCTTCACTGAAGCAATGTAAAAAGAAATACGTATATCTGCAAGGAGGCATATACAAGGATGTTCATGCTGCATTGGTTAGAAACAACCTAAACATCTAAAACAACCTAAATGTCTATCAAGAGCAGAATAGTACATCTTTAGAAGCAATTTAGAAAAATTAAAAAACTATTTTTGTTATTATTTTGCAACAGGGTTTTGATATGTAGTTAAGGCTGGCCTTGAACTCACTATGTAGCCCAGGCTAGCCTCAAACTCATGGTGATTCTTCTGCCTTAGTCTCCCAAATACTAGAATTATAGTTGTGAACCACCATGCCCAGCTCAAAATAAACTAATTATTTATATATCAGTATTCTTAGATTTCAAAAGCATGGTTGAATGAAAAATGGAAATTACAATGTGATAGAGTAGGCACAATTTATGTAATATTTAAAAATATGACATAATGACATTAGTGTTTATGAAACCACAAGTAGTAAATGTATATAAATATGGACAGAAAGGGTACATATTTTCCTTTGAAAAAATAATCACTTCTGAAGTTGGGGGGAAAAGGTGTTATTGTGTCTAGAAAAGGAATAAAGGAGGCTTCAGCTGTACCTGGAACTTTTTCTTTTATAAAAAGGAAAGCAAATATGGCAAAGAGTTAACATTTGTTAAATATGGAAACTGAGTATATAGGTGTATTTTTATGTGGCGTAGGGGGTACTGGGGGTTGAAACCAGGATATATGCCTAATCCTTTTTTTATTTTGAGACCAGGTCTCACTAGGTTGTCTACGCTTGACCTCAAACTTGTGATCCTCCCTCATTCTCCTACAGAGCTAGGATTTAGGCATGTTCCACCATGCCCAGCATAGGTGTAGGTTAGCTTATTTTTCTTTTCCTGGGTCATTGAAACTTTATACATTTGAAGAGAATATTTTTAAACGAAATGAGTTGTGTATAAGGATTCAATATCAACAAGACTAATTAGCACAAACTTTCAGTCTAAATAAAGTAGGAGATTTTAATTTTATTTTTAAAAGAGCTACTCAGTAACAGTCTTACAACTAAGACTATCTTGTTATTTAACATCAAATTTGAGAAATCTAATTTTGAAGCCTTTTTCCATAATTAAAAATTTTAAAATGAGTTTTCTACAGTATTGCTCAGTTCCTATTTTTTCATTCAAAAGCATTATGTAGAGGCTCAGAATATGGCTCAGTGGTAGAGTACTGGCCAGCACGCATGCGTCCCTGAGTTTGAGCCCTAATACTGAAATAAATAAATAAAATCATTATTTATTTAAATCAGTTTTCTTCACTCACCCCATTCCAATTTCCATTTATATAAAAAATGCTGGTAAACAGTTACAAAAAAAACACAGAATTGGCATACATTTAACTTCATTTTGTAGAAGATGAAATGATTTTTTAGGGGGATACAGTTTCATTGTTAGTATATTATGAAATCATTGAATTACTGTGAATACTGATTATAAATTTAACACTTAAGTAAATAGTATTTACAGTTTCCTGTTTCATAGTCTTCTCTATGCCATTAGTTATCATTGATTTTGTTGATGGTAGGGGTTTTGTTTTCTTTTTTTTTTACTCCTTTGCATTTTTGTTTTCTTGAAAGGGTCTCACTTGTAGTACAGGCTAGCCTGGAACTTTAGATCCTCCTACCTCAGTGTCCTAAGCTGGGATTATAGGTTTGTGCTGCCATTAGCACAAGCTGAGAGCTACATTTTTACGGTTTGAATGGCTCAACTCCGTCTTCTCATACTGTAACCATTTGGTAAAAATAAAAATTAAACTGTCTTACATTTCCATATTCTCTTCTTCTTTTGTATGTCTCTATCCAAAATGCTATTGAACACTAAAATATATAAAAAGAAATATATATACACACAGACAACACA